TGCTGTCTGCTCGACGGCCGACAGCACCGCCTTGCGGGTGCGAGTATACGGATTATTTGCAAAAATTACAATTTTTTGAGGCTCAWTATACAGATAAACATCCAGAGTGGTTGACATGTATGTACTAACGCTCCAGTGTGGTGCTGTGTTATGTGAGTTACCCATAATGCTTTGCGGTTGAATAGAGGGGTGTGGTTTTATTTAGTGAAGGGCTGGGATTGGTGGATAGTTTTGACGTTTGTTTAGTTGATTGTTTTGAGTTTTAATGTTTGTGTAATAGTTATTTTTCTGTTTTAATTGGGATTTATTTTTGACTGGTAAATGAAAGAAGTCGATGCAAAGTCCCCACGAGGATAGAAAAACCCRTGTGTGTGTGAGCAGTTGTACTCTCTAAGAAACTGTGAAACTTTAGTTAAATAGCAGCTTTATTTTATACATTCTGTAAGAACAAGTTCTTTCTTCCAGTGTTCTTCTGTTCTTCTCACGTACTGAGCACCGTGGTGCATCACTTATGCTGTATGCTTTGTGTCGTATACACTTGCTGAATGCACGCATAACTAATCAGACAACTATGCTGCACGGTTCTGTTTACATCAAACTGAAAAAAAAGAGAGCAAAAATCCCATAACATGTCAAATTCAAGCTGTTTTGTCACAAAACCTCTTGGAGATAAACAGTGCATTGCAAGTGCATGGTAAACAGCCATTACTGTAAATATAAACACTTCATGGGCTTACATTTTCTGTTTGATTTGCAGTCTAGCTTTAAGATCAACAGTTTCTGCTCCAAACAATATTTCAGGCTCAGCCCAAGAGTTTAGACGTGAGGGATTTGAAAACAAGTCTGAATTCTTTGCCAAGTGTTCCACGTTGTTTACACGTTGGGTTTACTGAAATTATGGCTCTGCTTTTGAACACCGACAATTCAAACTAAAAATTCATTTTTAAACGCTATTATTTAATGTGTGTACAAAGGATTTTTATTTTCTTTGTACATTTGAAATAGTTTATTGTCTGCATTTGTTCTGTTTTTCTGTTTTAACAAATATGATATGAAACAGGACTATTCAACTGGCGGGCCGCGGGCCTCATCTAACCCGTATGTGAGTTCCGTCCGGCCCAATGT